CCGGAACAGCAGGCTGCCCGTGGGGGTAGGAGGCGGAGCCGGCAGGTGCAGAGATGTCGGGGAAGCAGCTGTGGGGAGGAGCGGGCTCAGTGGTGGCCAGTGGGCAGGGGCCAGCGGGCTCCGGGCACTCACAGCTCGGATGCGTCCTCCTTGCCGATGTACTCCTCCAGGATGCTGGTGTCGATGTTGGACGGCTCCAGGGCGCCATTGATGTCGTGGCCTGCGGGCAGGGCTCAACTGGGCAGGCTCCTGGGACCCCAGCACCGCCTTCCTGCCCTCCCGGCCTGGGCCCACTGTACTGCAGACCCTCTGGACGCGGGGTGAAATTCCTGGCCTGAGGAAGTGACGGTGCAGGCCCAGGGTGTGGACTGGGCAGCAGGGAGGCCACTCGTGCCCACCACCCCGACCTACACAGGAGAGACGCAGGCACCCAGCCCTGTGCTCTGGGGACAGTGTGTGCTTCTCGGGGCCCAGGGCCCACTGCCCTGTGAGGCTGGGATCGGGCAGGGACTGTCCTGCCCTGTTCTCCAGTGACAGGGCCCACGGCTGGGGGGCTCACACATCGGGGGACCCCCCCAGCCTCGGGGAGGTGGGCACAGCAGTGCCTAGCCGCCCACCCCAGAGCTCTGTGTCTGAAGAAGGAGACCTGGGCCCACCAGGGGAGCAGGCACCCGCTCTGCTCTGTGCACCCTCCCGTTGGTGCTGGCCCATGATGGGAGGGCCCAGAGCCAATACCAGACCCCGGCAGGGCAGGGAGGTGTGGCGCCGGCCTTTCCCCACGGGGTCACCTTGTGGGGGAGCTGAGGGTGGTGATAAAGGCTGGCGTGGAGCTGCGTCACTGGAGGGAGAAGTGCAGGACAGCCTGCCCCGTGCCGAGCTGCAGGGACCCTCCAAAGCCTGGGGTCTGTGCCTCGCACCCCATGGAGAGCCCACAGCAGAGCAGCTGACACCTGCCAGGCCCTCTCTTGGGCCTCGGTCTCCCGAAGGAAAGTGGGGCAGGGACAGCCATGTGGGCGCGGTGCTGAGCCGCCTCTGCGGGGCCTGAGGAGTGGTGCTCGCTCCCTGGCCCAGCCCAGGGTCTCAGAGCCCCCGGCCCTGGCCGCTCGCTGGCCCCTGCTGGCATCTCAAGAATGCTGAGCCCCGCTTAGGTGATTAATGAGCAGCTAAGCCCTCCCTGGAGTCACGCGCCTGCCTGCGCCCCAACCGGTCAGGGCCTCGGCCAACCCCACAGCAGCCAGGGACACCCACAAGGCCTGGCCCAGGCCCCGGAACCCCGGCACAGTGAACACCAGCCACGGGGCCTTCCCTGCGCACCTGCTGTGGGCCAGGCCCTCTGGGCCTCGTGCCCCCTGCTGCAGGGCCACTGTGAGGACCCCTGTGTGGCACTCAGTCCCACCAGCCATGGGCCGTGACAAGAGGCAGGGGTGGGCGTGAAGGGACCGGCGTGCCTCTCCCCGCCACCCGAACGGGGCGTCAGGGCAGCCCTCTCACTGCCCAGGCCAGGTCCCCCAGACGGCAGCACTAGGCCCAGGCTCGGCCAGGCTCAGGAGGGCGGGCTGGGTCCTGTGGGTGGGGCCAGAGCAGCCAAGGCCGAACTTGGCCTGTGGGCTGGTGACCCCTCCCTTCTCCCCAGGAGCGCTAATCACCTAATCCCTCACTCCCCTGCAGTGGGGTGAGACCCTAACGAGATCCAGATGTGGGGGGCGGACCCTCTGGTGCCAGGGACGATGGGGCGGGGGGGAGGGGCGCAGGCCGGGAGCAACCGCCTTCATCCGCCTGGGCTGCCCCGCCCTGCACCTGCACCAGGGTCTGGACACCTCTAGCAGCCCCACTGTCCCACCAACCCAAGAGAAACGGGGCCCCCGACTGGCATATGTCCTTGAGGGTACCCTGTGTGGCTGCCCAGAGGCCCAGGTCCCCCACTGCTGGGAGGGCAGGGCTGGTCCATCAGCAGAAAGTAGCACCACTATACAGATGGGAGCTGGCATCTCTGTCCTCCTGTCTGTCCCAGCCTCTAACTTGCAGCCATTCCCATGACCCAGGATGAACCCAGAGCCCCCTGCTGCCCCAGCCCAGGACAAGCATGCTCCCTGCAACCCTGCCCCAGGGCCTTTGCACAGGCTACAGCCGCACTAGGAAAGGTCCCGTCAAGTGACTTATACTCCATCCTCCCTCACTTCATCCATAGGCCAGGAGGGTTCCTTTCCTGCATTTTATAAGCTGGAGGTACCTGTCCATGGCTTCCAGGGACGGGAGCTGGGCTGTATCCCTCCTTGCTGGGGTACATGCCCCTCCTTGCCCTCTTACCCCACACAGAGTAGGCAAGTGACATTTGTTGGTGCAGTGTGTGTGTGCAAAGGTCACAAGGGGACGGCAGCCAGGCCCCAGCTTCTCCCCATTACCTACTGGGGACAGGAGCCAGGCGCTGGTCCGCCCAGAGGTGGGGGTCTCAGCTGGGGGACGCTGGCCCTGATCCCACCTCTCTCCTCACTCCCAGACCACCCTGCTGGGCAGGAGAGGAGCCAGGTGCAGGATGCGACAGGCGGGGGCCCAGGTGTCCCCCGCGCTCCCCCCACCAGCTGTGACCGCCGCTGAGCCTGGGCCATTGTCCCAGGCGCGAGGGTGAGGCCACGGCACAGTGGGAGGCTTGTGCCCTGCCAGTCCCCCACCGCCCCGTCAATGAGGCACTTGTCAATTCATGCCCCAAACATGGCGGAAATCCCGTCGGCCACGTGGCCGTGGGCAGGGTGGGCCAGGCAATGAGGACACAGGGTGGAGGGGCCCCGCGACACGAGCGTCCTCTTCCCTGGGTGCCCTGGCTCCAGGCAGCGAAGGGGCTCAGCCCCTGCCTGCCCTGGCACTGTCGCAAGCCTGCAGGACCCTGGGCCGAGGGGCTGGGCTCCCCAGTGGACCCCGCTTAGTGCTGTGCGGTCCGTGCCCCCGCCCATAGCACATGCAGGCGGTGCCCAGCGGTGACTTCGCTGTCCACTCACCGCGCTGGGTTCTCGGATGGGATGTGGCACTGTCCCTCAGGGCCTTGAGCCTGGGCCACCACTGTCTCTCCCCACCCAGCCTCACAGCAAACCTGCAGGAGGCGCGTGTCCAGCCGTAGGGACCATCCCTTCTGGGGACCCCACCCAGTTGCCAAGCCCTCCTCCAGTCCACACAGCAAACCCACCGTCCTGTCCGCCCCAGGCTGGGGTCCACGCACCTCCACTTGGTCAGGGGAAAGGTGGCCAGACACCCGCAGGTGGGCACACACACAAGCACACTCACAGGGCTCCGTGCACCCCATGCCTGCACAGTTCCAGGCCAGACCAGCGTGGGAGCCAGGGACAGACTGGACACCCAGCCACTGTCCTGTCTGTCCAGGGGCAGGGGAGGTGACGACAGCTTGCCCGGCAGGATCACTGCACTATGGAAAGTCAGGCGCTGGGACGAGGCCAGGTTTAGCAGAGTCCCCGGGCCCGGGCGCCAGGACAGGGCACACGTGTATGGGGTCGCTGCTCACATTGCACGGCCCTGACCCGACAGGGTGGGGGCATCACAGTGCTGCATTGGCGCTGTCCACCAGGCAGCACCCACCCCTCACTCAGGACCCCAGGCTAGCTTGCTGAGGCCACCGAGGGGAGCCCACACGTCCCTCCCTCCCCACTGGCCCCTACCCTGGGAAAAGGGGCCACCACCTGCCCTCCTCGGCACCCCAGAGCCCAGGCCAAGACAAAGGACGGCCAATCCCACCCTGTCCTGGGACCAGAGGTCTATGTCCCATCTCCTGGGTGAGGGAGGGCCGCCAGGTGGGCTGGGGACAAGGACCTGTCCAGCCAGGCCCCGCACACCACACACAACCAGCTGCCAGGTTCCCTCACCCTAGAACCAGGGACCAGAGACGGCAAGGCTTCCCCAGAACACAGCCCAGCCTGAGCTGGGGCGTCCAGGGCCCTGGCGATGTGCGGCACCTGCCCTGGGAAGGACGATGCCCGGGTGGAGGCTGACAGGCTGGGCACCATCTCACGGCCCCCACAGCGACCTCAAGAGGTGGGCATGAACTGGCCCTGTGGCTGTCCCCATTTTGCAGATGAGAGCCGGAGCTCGTGCTGACTGAGAAAAGCTACTTGCCATCTCTGGGCTGGCTAGGGACAGCTGGGTCCCGCCCACATCCGGGCCTCGGGGAAACTGAGGCCCCGAGCGAGGGGCAAGCTGGGCTTCAAGGAGGAGGAGGAAGGTGAAATAGGGGCGGGCCGGGCAGGGTGTGCCTGGTTAATAATTCGGTTAATGATTCCTGTGCTGTGCTTATCAGGAGGCCAAAGTCCAGGGCCCAGCCAATGGGCACCTGAAGGCCGTCACCTGGCAGCCTCAGGGGCCTGGGCCAGAGCCCCGGGAGTGAGAGAGGCCTGGGTTCCCAGGTGGAGGCCTTTGGGGCTCCCCAAGACCCCCAGTGTGCGTCGTGCAGCCCCAAGACCAGGAGAGGCCTGCGGTCGGGCTGGGCAAGGCCCCTCCTAGGACCCCTGGGGACCCCAGGCTGCCCTTCCTGGGACCCCTGGGGACCCCAGGCTGCTCCTCAGTCCTCTGCCTCAGTAGGGATGGTGGCTTCCACTGGCGAGGCACCTTCCTGCACCCCTCAGACCAGAGCCCTAGGTGGATGAGTCAGACCCGCACTGGCCCAGGACCTATCAGGGTGCACGAGGCTCACAGGCTGGGCTGGGACAGGGGTCTGGGAGTGCCGGGGCCCAGCAGGAACCTCCTGTCTCCTGCAGGGGGCAGGGGTGAAAGCCTGGCTGCCTCCACCAACCCAGTCCCTGGGGCGGATAGGCAAGGGCCCTAGGGCCACATAGACCCAGCAGCCTGAGAGCCCCCTACCCTGAGGAAAAGGAGAGTTGGGCATGAAAGCCCAGGTCCCGTGGGCTCCAGGCCACCTCTGCACCCACCTGCTTTCTGGGGGAGCAGGCTGCTCCCTAGAATCCAAGCCCAGCACCCACTGCCTTCTGGGCCCAGCCCACACCCTCTAAAATGTTCACCTTCCCTGGCATCATGGGAACTTTTCTCTGCAGGCAGGAAGACCCGGTGAGAGTGAGGGCTCTGCGCCGGCCACACAGCTCCCTGCAGGTCTGGGCTGGACCCTCTGATGCTGCCTTGCCCATTCCAGGCCAGGCTCTGGGAGGCCACGGCCAGCAGGCAGTCGCTGAGGAGGCCACCTGCCACCAAGACCCATTACCTGCTGGCAGCCATTGCATCCTGCCGGCGGGTCCCCTCTCCACAGGCCCTGCACCCAAGATCTGGGCCGCTGGTGCCTCTCTCCAGGGGATTAGCGGGCGGTCACGGGGGCCGCCGTACCAGCCTCCCACCTGGGCACAAAGCGCCTTAGCCCCCGCCGGCATCCACAGGACAGGACCAGGACAGGCGCTGTGTCAGAGCCCTCTGCCCGCTGTCCAGGGTGCACGATGAGACCACACGGGAAGGGGCACCCACGCCACCAGGCTCAGCTTCTCTCCCGGAGCACCGCGCCCTGCGCTGTCCATCACCCAGTCCTGAGCTCCACACGGTCCCCTCGCCAGGCCCTCCGCACGCCTCCTCTCCCAGGAGCCCAGGGACCCCAGCTCCGGGTGCCCCCCCGCGGGCTCTGGAGACTTCTGGCCCTCCTGGGCGGGCGCCGCACCCCGCCCTGCTCCCCCCACATTCTTCGGCTCCTCTTATCTCTGGAGGAGCTGCAGCTTCCCTGCCAGGCGGCCGCATGGCTGAGCCGTGGCGTCAGCCCCCGCCCCCCACCCAGGGCCAGGCCGGGAGGTTTTGGCGCGGAGTCCTGGGAAGGAGGGATGTAGGGGCCTGGCCATAGGTCATGGGGTCACCAAGCAGGCACCCCAACAGTATCCCAGGCTCGGACCCGTGTCTCTTCCCTCCCCTGGGAGCCCCTGCCTCCAGCAGCCCCTCCCCATGGATGACGAGCAGGGATCTCATCTGCCCTAGCACAGACTGCCTGACCTCATCCACACCTGGCTCCTCAGGGCCTGGGTCTGTGGGTGCCAGGCATCCTGGAGCACAGTGTGTGGGATGCCCTTGCCCAGGCTGGTTCCCAACCACAGATGGGGGAAACCGAGGCGGGAAAGGCCTTCTCTTGCCTAGGGACTCCCACAGCCCTGGCAGGTGTGCTCAGAGGTGGGCTAGGGGCGGAGGAGCAGGACCTAGGCTTGCAGAGGGAGGGAGGGGCTCCCCAGGGTGGTGGAGAGGGATGCAGTGGGCCGTGCAGACGTCCAGGGGGCTGGAGGGCAGCCTGAGCTCCCTGTCCTAACCTGGCACTGGGGAGGGAGGGGGTGGTCAGACACAGGGCAGAAAGGAACACCCCCGAACGCCCACGTGGGATGAAGGAAACCCCCGAGGTGTGCGCAGGTCCCGCCCCACCGTCTGGCTCCGGGTCAAGGCAGGGGGCGGTCACTCCGCGGAGGCGGCGCTGGGGACAAGTTTGGGACACGGCCCTGAGGAGTGCGGGGCTGGGGTACAGTCCAGATTCCGGGGTTCCCGGGGCGGACACTGCAGAGCGGGGGCTCTGGGGGTGCAGCTTTAAGCAGGACCCAGCCCTGGAAGGCAGTGTGGAGGGGGTCCCAGCCCCAGTGTGGGGGACAGTCTCAAAGGGGTCTTAGCGCCGGCGTGGAGGGACCGTCTCAGCCCCGGGTGGGGGGACAGTCTCAAGGGGGGGCCCCGCTCTCGAGGTCCCTGCCGTGGGGGCCTGGGGGTCGCCGCTTGTTGGAG